TTATTTGCGTGCTCTAAATAATAGTAATGAAAATATGATTAAAAAAAGGCAGAAATTGTTTTTAATTTTACATAAAATAAATTTTACATTGTTTATAATTTATATTTATTTTCAAAATTATTTGTTATTAGTATTTAGGTATAAATTATTTTTTCTTAAAAGCTTAAAAGTTGAAAAATTAAATCAGCTTATGTTCACATCATTATTTTATTAGCTTTGATGCAAAGCTGAGAAGGTATTGGTTTTCCTATGATGTGTTTTTTTTTTTGTGTCTGTTACCACTTTTACTCAGCTCTCACCAAACCGATGTCTTTCAATGACACGTCAAAAGATCACAAATCGTATNAACCGATGTCTTTCAATGACACGTCAAAAGATCACAAATCGTATCTAGTCAAAAAAATTACAAATTTAAAAATCGCTTATTTTCGAAATTTTTTCAATTTTTTTTTACTTAAAATTGCTATAACTTTTTTAAAAATAACCAAATCAATATAATTTTTTTTTATATTGATGCATGATGTTTTTAACTAACATTTGGTATATTTTTATATCTGACCCTTTACCTGCCCACAGGAGGGGATTTAAAATGACAACTGTTTCACAAAAAATTAATTTTTTCAACTTGACTTTTGAAAATGTTCCGAAAGTCTAACACTTTTATATATATATTAAATTAAAGCTAATGTAATGTACTTTATTATGGAAAAAAAAATTTGGGACTTGCGAATTGAGCTAAAAGTTATGGTAATAAATTTATTATTATTTTTTTTTATTATAAACTTTCACTTTTAAGGACAAAACAAAGTAGGTTAAAAATTATTACTTTTAACGTATTAAAAATCAATAATAACTTGAAAACAATTAATTATAAAAAATATTTAATATATAAGTAAAAAAGAATTACTAATCTAGATATAATTAAGGAAGTAGAAGTTGTTGTTGCTTTTGTAATTATCCACCAATTTTTTAGAATTAAACACTATCTACAGATTTGCATCGAAGCGTTTCTTATGATAGTGATTTTAATCACTGTCAGATTAAATCTATACTGGACCCAACTATGCAACGTCCCCACTGTGGCACGACCTCACTGTGCTGGGTTTTTTTATATTTATCTGTTTATTACCATCAGTCATACTCAATGACTGTCTGAAAAAATCATCTATTGTTTTTTTTATTATAAACTTTCACAAAAATCAACCATAAAGGATTAACAAAATAGGTTAAATATGTCATTTTTCATATTTTTAACATATTAATAATTAAAATCAGTATTAATTTAAAACAATTTTGTTTTATGTCAATACTTATTTTTTAATAATAAGTAATTCTATCAAAACTTAGAAGTGATAGAAAAAGTCTAAAAATAGTATCTAAGGGTAATTAATATTTAAGGGTGAATAATAAAGAGGAATTAGGGGTTATACTAAAAGTTAGAGGGGATTGGTAATTAAGGGGTATACTAAAAGAGTAGTTAAGGGGAGTTATTAATTAAGGGGGGTGCTAAAAGAGTAGTTAGGGGGAATATGTAATTAAGGAGGTACACTAAAGAGAGAGTTAGGTGGAGTTGGTAATTAAGGGAGTACACTAAAAAAGTAGTTAGGTGGAAATATGTAATTAAGGGGGTATTTTTATTATTTTGTTTTCACGGTGAAAACAGACATCAAAGTTAATAAAAAAAATACGATTTCTGTAAAAAAATTCTTTTTTATATTTTTAACTTTATGATGCTATATAACTTATTGAAAAGCGTATGGATGAACATAATTTTTCTATGAGAAATACTATTTTTTAATAATCTCTTTTTCATTCGACATACTTTATCTTAATCAGGATATTAATAAGGAACTAGCAGATTATGTAGCTTTTGGAATAATCCACCAATTTTTTAAAATTAAACACTATCTAAAGATTTGCATCGAAGCGTTTTTTTTTTTTGATAGTGATTTTAATCTTATACTTGATCTAACTATGGCACGTCACCATTATGCCGCGACCCCCCTGTGCTGAGTTTTTTATAATACTGTAATAATTAGTATACTTTATACGAAAACAATTTGTTTTTAACCAACCAATGGTAAAATTTTGAACTTGTAAGATTCATAGAATGGGATACTATCAAAAGCTTTTCATGGGAAACAAATTATGGAAAATGATACAAGGGCCCAAAATTGTTGGCCCCTCCAATAAATATTTTCTGGCTACGTGCCTGCTCATTGCACCGATTTTTCTCAACGATACGTCAAAAGATCACAAATCGTATCTAGTTGAAGATATTGCCCAAAAAAATTGAAAATTTTGCCCTCGTTACTTGTAAATAGTGAAAATTCCACAAAAATACGAATTTTAGAATCGGTAAATTTCGAAATATTTTCACTTTTTTTTTCTAAAAATTGATATAATTATTGAAAAATGAACAAATCAAAATAATTCTTTTTATATTGAAACCATAGATATTTTTCTTTCATTTGATATAATTTTTTGAAAATGTGACCCTTTATTTGACCACGGGGGGATTCAAAATAGAAACATCTACACAAAAAATAACTTTGTCAACTTAATTTTTGAAAATATTTCAGAAATACTCCGAGCTTCAAGCATATGTTAAAATAAAGTAAATATTATGCACTACAACATTATCTTTTTTCACTAAGTTGAAAAAAGAAAGTTTCTCAACGATTTATGTTCTATGTGAAAATGGTTGCTGTAGTTAAAAAACATGCAATTTTAGTGTTAAAATTTATGATTTCAGATTTTATTTTTAAATTGCTATAATTTTTTGAAAATGTATGGATCAATACAATTATTTTTTCAGAAATACTTCATGATTACTTCTTTCATTTGATATACCTTTAACTCAATTTTTGAAAATTTTCCGCAAATATCGACACTTTTATTTAGTCTTAAATTTAAGTTTATGTAATATTCTATATTATGAAAAAAAAAAAATTGGAGATAGAGTGAAAATGGTTATCATATTTAAAAATATGCTATTTTTGTGTTAATATGCCTTATAATGAGGTACACTGATTTTCATGTATATTATATAAAACTAAATAACATAGAATATAAAATTAAATTTATTTTTTCTTTTGAGTCGAAAAAATAGATTTTTACATTTGAATCAGCTTAAATTGCCAATTTTAATAAAACGAATGTGACGAACGTATGCCGATTTATTAAAAATCATTGCATGTGGGAATAATATTTTTGTAATTTTTCCATAATTCTTTTTGAGTTAGAATTTTGTTTATCAATAATCCACCAATTTCTTAAAATTAAACACTGTCTACAGATTTGTTTTCTAAAAATAAATCTATTAAATTATTTATAAGTCGTTGTTAGGGATTTTTTTTTGTTCGATAAGTTATTTTGGTGATAATCAGTCATAAGGTTTTCAAATTTCTAGTCCTAGTTTTTATATTACATCCTTGATTCATCTTTTTCGATTTATTTTCCCAACATAATTTAGTATGTAGTAAAATTTAAAAGGAAAAATGAAAAATATGAATTAAGTAATAGTAAAAAACATTATTTAAATTTTTTATCTTTTACAGAAATTATGAAAAATGTTTTCAACATTCCTTGTAAACATATTGTTTTAATAGCATTATATTTTATTCCAGTAGTTTTAAACAAAATTAATAAATAGTTTTATATTAAATATTTGATGCTGAAAAATCTGTAACTAATGTTCTACAAATTTATTTTTCTAATATCCTCCAGGAACGTACTGTGAAGGTTAAATAGTATATTATATGCTTCCTTAATTACCTTCATTTATGACATTATTAATTTATAAATCATATAATTTAGTAATATATTAATTTAAATATAGATGAACTAATTAACAATAATTTATTTAATGAACCGTCAATTTATTTATAAAATTTCATTATTATTACTTTGTATTTGAGGGCATAGGTACAGTAAGGTACTGGTAATTCAATCAATGCCAATGGTTAGTGTGAGCTCGTAAATCTATGAAATACCGTTCTTTAGTGAATTAAGTTAAAACCTGATGGTTACTTTTTAATGTCTACATAAAGAAAAAAAGGTATGTATAAGAGGTTCCATATCATAATCTCCTATTTAAATGACACTGATAATAATTATTTATTAAATAATTATTAGATAAAGTATATGCTATGACATTGTAAATTTCTTTGGAATAATGAAAAAAAATTGTTTTACGACTATTTGATATTAACTGAAATTTTATTTAATAAGTGAATATATCAGTATCTTACAATAAGATTCTTTAAATCAATATGATTTGTGGATTTATTTTTAATTTCACGTTATATAAACTATTATCATAGTTCGTGTTATCAACTTGATGTTCTTTACCTTAGATAAGTCATTAATTGAAAAAAAAACATATGATACTTCACCGTAATTTTTACATCTGAAAAAATTTGTCCGTTTTTACTGACTTACACAATAAATTTCTATTGTTTTATAACTTATCTATTTGAAATAATCAAGATGGTTCGTGATTTCAAAGCTCCCATTAATGTCTCCCCATTAATCAGAGTAAGTGAATTGTAATTTTTGTATTATGAAGAAAACGGTAGACTGATTTCTGGATATTATAAGTCTAACATCCCAAAACATTTATTGAATATACACTGTTTTTACAGAATTATTATTTAGCATTAACCATGATAACGATTATAATGATGTAGATTTTTGATGCGTCTTTTAATTTGGTTTAAAATACTAGACATGTTTTTTTCAATTACCCCATTATAAATTAAAGATTAACTATATTTTAGTGTAGTATTTACATTATTTATGTTATTTAAAAGTAGTATTTATTCTTATTGGTTTAATACGTGACATAGGATTCATTGATTCATTGTAAAGGTATAAAAGTAATAAGTATTAAAAGTTACAAGTCTTAATTTTTCAAATATTCATGAAAAATAAACTTAATTATTCATTTTATTGTTTAGTTTGGTCGTTATTCTTTACTCCTAGCTGGTATTGGGTACGGAATGACTAGACATAGTTTTTTGCAAAGGAAAGAAGACAAATCCAGAGATGAACGTTATAGGTTAAAAGCAGAAAGAGATGCCAAAATTGCTGAAGAAAAGAAAAACTTTGCTGCAGGTATATCAATGTTATATCATACATTAATTTTTTTATATTAAGGTTAACATATGTTTTTTAATATTAGTTATATGCCGGTAAATTAAAAAATTTTAATTATTTATGTTAACTACTATGTAGTTGAATATAATGTTAGCATTCTTTTAGTGTTGGCCATTCAATATCTCTAAATTATTTTTTTGTGAATTTTTTTTTTGCTTTTGTTATTTACATTATTATCTTTACTTATCTGTTATAAAATATTTTTTATGTTCATCCTTTATACCTTATAAGTGCGTCAACTTTAATTTTTCAAACGACAATAAACATAATTAACTGGCTTATAAACAAAAAAATGATCTGAGCAATAACAACTATTATGATTTAGTATTTCAGAATTTATTAATAATTTAAAGTAATACTGTATTACTTTAATTAATAGTGGGTTTGCTATTTTTATCACTAGACATTTCTTGGCCTCGCTCTTTCTGCTTAGGTATAAAATATTAATAGCTCGTGAAATACTGGTCCAAATTTTTTTATCAACTAGCTAATTTCATATTAAATTATTTTCTATTTTATATCTAGTTAAATATATATGTCTCCATTAAAAAAATACATCTTTATAAGAGATAAGGAATGAACATAACAAATATTTTTAACACATGGAGTTACATATGTAACTTATAAAAGTCAAAAAAATAATTAAAATAAGTTGAAGGGTTAATGTATAATAATCATCCTGTATAATTCTCTTAAAGTAATATACTTTTTTATAAATATCTACAATTCATAGATTCCTTTGAGAACAATAGTGTTACAGAAAAATTCTTGAATATTCAAGTAGTATCAATTCCTAAGGACTTTTTCCCATATAAAATTTACCTAAATTTTGCTAGTCACTACAAGTACAAATTTTTTTTTTATCCATGAATTAAACTAATTGTAATGTATTAAGTAATCGTATTGTGTCTGCTCTGTTCCTGAGATTGCGTGTTGTATTTCCCACACACTCATAAATATATATATTTCAGATATATGACATATCTGAAATAGAAATTTCTCTTAATTCATATATGTCTCCATTAAAAAATTTTAAATTTTAAATAATTATTTTTGTTACTGATATACAGATATTGTTGTTACTAGGCTCATTTATGGAAGATTGGTCTAGTTGACAAGGGGGTAAACTGGGTAGAAAATACTTACAATTAAATTAATAAGACAGTTATTTTGTTTAAAATACTAGAAGATATATAATTTATGTAATTATATAGTGGAGTTAATAAACACATTAATCTTTAACATAACAGTTATTTTTTAAATATTACACATACATATATATATGTAACTTAATGGTTTTCAAAAGATGACTTAATATCTACTAACTTGGCTCAATCTTTTGGTCTTCCAATATGTAGCGAATTGCTATGAAGACCAATACAACAATACATAAACTGTCTATCAGTCACACTTGAAATATTGAAAATGTCCTTATAATAATGCAGTGTTTAACTGATATAAATAATTCAAAATGAATAAGTTTTTGCATAACAAAACATCTACATTATGGCTTTTATTATCAAATAACCTTTGTCACTAGATATAGAAAATACATTTTTTTCAATTTTTTTTTTCTGAATAACTATTGCCTCCTTTTCAAGACTATTTTCTAAGTAAATTCTTTATTATTTAACAATAATAAAAAAATTAGGTAAAGTATAATATTTTTCATAGCATTAAAAAAAAAAAAATTTTAATAATGCATAATAATTATGCAATTATACTTCTTCCTTATTTTTTAAAGTTATTAAAGAAAATGACTGATACAATATTTTCAATCAGTATTTTGGATGTTATTCTCATTTTTATAGCTAGGCACAATGAAGAGTATGGCTAGGGAATGACTACTGATAAAAATATCAACATCTACTCCTCACCTCCAGTCATTACTTTAAATTATTAATAATTTCTGAAATACTTGTACAAATGTTATTATCGACCAGTCATTTTTTTAATTTACACACAGTATAACATTTTAAATATACATTAGAATGTAATACTTCTCAACCCTGATTTCAATGTATAAAATGTTAGATAAATTAAATACATTTTTTTAATAAAAATTAATATTCTTTACGTAATTGTCTAAGGATAGATGCAACATATATGTTTTGATAAATGATAACTTAAAATTTTCTTTCAATTTTTTATCACTATGGAACATTTTTTGTTTTGAATTATCTTTACTAAAAGACCTTATATAAGTATATATAAGTAAAATAACTTATACTAAAATAAAAAGTTCATAGAGTTTTGATATACATTAATTATTTGTTTTATTTTTTACAGAGGAAATGAGGAATTTAGATGCAATTATGAATCCAGTAAAAACCCCTTAGAGATTTTTTTTCAATATTATTATCAATGTTCAACATTATCAACACAAAAATTTTAATACAATGAATGTTGCTTTTGTAATAATAATTAAAGATTACATTAAAGTAATTGTTAGAAAAAAAAAAAAATAGAATATTCTTAGAAACATTCTTAGGAAACTTATATTTTTCTAGAACTTCAAAATTAAAAAAAATTCATTCCTAACATTAATTTTTCTAATGAAAACAAAATTTAATTATTCCAAAGTACAATTATTATAATTTTGTTGAACTGTAGTTGAGTCAGTAAATTTATATTGTAAAGTACATATATAATTGTAAAAATAAAAAGTAAAAATAGTAAAGTTCTTTATTTTTTATAAATGCTTAAATCTTAAATCATAATCATATTCATTAAGACATTTGGAAAGTACCTAGTACCAAAAATACTAGCAAAGTTACGATATATAATATCAAATTTTAAACCAATAATCTTTTGTTTACTATAATTTTAATCGATTCTTGTTACCTTAAGATTAATACAGAATTATATGCTTCACATACACATCAGCTTTGATAAAAAACGTATAACAATTATATTTACAATCAAACATTTTAAAATGTTATGTTTATGAGGTTGGCTTTTAGAATGAAAACACTACTGAACCTCTAAAAGCTATATAATTTTAAAGCATTATGGAAGAGTGATAGAATGTCTTTAAAATTTTTTTCATTAATATCATAATTTTTTCTCAATAAAAATATGATATGCTACTTCTACTAAGTAATTTAGTTACAATCGATTACAGATTTCTTAGCTTCATTGCCAAGCTGAGAAGGTATTAATTTTACTATGATGTGTTTTTTTTTGTGTCTGTTGCCACTTTTTCTCAGCTCTCACCAAACCGATTCCTTTCGACCATATGTCAAAATATCACAAATCGTATCTAGTTGAAGACATTACCCTTAAAAATTAAAAACATTTTCCCAAATTCTGTAAATGAAGAATATACAAAAAATTTACAATTTTAAAAATCAGTAATTTTCACCGTTTATTATTAAAACTCATAATTATTTAAAAATTAATAAATCAACTTGATGTTTTTTTATAGATTCCTTATATTTACCTTTCATTTAGTGTATTTTTTATGAAAAAATGACCCTTCACCTGCCCTCAATGGAGATTAAAAATATTAACTTTTTTCAAAAGTCAACTTTTTCAAGTTATCATTTAAGAAAGTTACAGAAATACTGAGTTCTTTAAACATATGTTAAAATAAAGCTTACATTATGTACTAAAAGTTAAAAAAAAATTTGACCCGGCGACTTATCTTCTATATGCAAATGACAGTCAAAGTTGAAAAAAAAATAGGAGTTAATTTTGATTTTTGGAATAATCCACCAATTTCTTAAATTTAACACTATCTAAAATTTGATGAATTTCAAACGCTCGTAGTGGCAAGAGATTTAGTCAGATTTCGGATTTTTGTCGTTTCTTCGGCATATACAGAACGCCGTTATATGATTGCGAATCGTAAAAAAAATCGTTTTCATGTTTAAAATGTCGCAAGAATTTCGGGCGGTGCGCCCTGTCGTCTCGAGTGCGTGAAAAAATAAAAGCACGTAAAACGGTGAAAAATGAACGGATTGAATTTATTTTTTTATTACATTAGATTGTCATTGGTTGGGTCTGGTGAAAATTTCAAACCTTAAGTCGTAAAACGCTGGCGTCAGTGAGTGATTTTCTCGAAAATGGTGAAATTTTAAAACGCTCGAGGGCGAGCAGCAAAAATTTTCCGACCTTCGCCAATAATTTTCCCGGAGTCTGGTGATCGAGTACTTTCGTTGAAAAAAAAAATTTTGAAAATTCGAACTCGTTATGTAATTTTCCCAGAAAAGCGTTTTTTTCCTTGTTTTATTTTATAATTATATATACTAATTTTATAATTAATAAGATTGGGTAATTTATTTTTAGAATTACTTACGTGTACGCTTGTCGTTAACGGTTGCTATAATAGTATAATCGATATTATTATTATTTTCATATCTATTGTCTATTACGGCCTTTATAATAATTATAAGTGTATTGTGTTTCATTTTATTATATTTATTTTATTATTATATTTAATTTGACAATACCTATAACTAGCGGTATTATATTTAAAGTTGCACCCACGAACCACCTATGATTGATACCTATGATTGTTTTATATCTAAATGCTGATTTCTACAACTTGTTACATTTGTAAATTGATATTAATTTTTTTATTATTAAAAATATTAAGTTTTAATATCGCAAATAAATTTTATTTTTACTTAAAAATAAATAAGTGATCGCCCAAGTACTTTTTTGTTGTGTCCTTCAATATGTTACGCCGGTACTACTTGGATCAGTATGAATGTTTTTTTTGTAAATAATCTAGATATTAAGCGGTTTTGGCAGGTTTATAATTTTTAAAATCCAACAACTAATCTAAGTTCAGTAATGATCCTAAGTTTGGACTTTATATATAATAAAAATATATCAAACAAATGTTTTGTGCCTGGTATAAAGCTAATTAATGACTTCAAGGTCTATAAAAATCAAAATAAAAATTATTCTACTATATTTCATTCACACAAGGTTATGTTAATTTATAGCACATGACAACAAGTAACAAAATACTTTGAGAGTTTCTAATTTTTCTATGATTTCTATAGAGAATTTTGGCTTTGATTCTGAATCTCGTTTTATATTTTTTTCACATCAAAATTTTAATAGAATTAATAAATAGAAATTAAGTGATAAATTCACTGTAATATCATTATAATAAAATTTATAAAAACCCAGCACAGCGGGGTTTACTTATCATTTGGTATATTTTTTTTGTAAATCTGACCCTTTATCTGCCCACAGGGGGTGATTTAAAATGACAACTTTTTCAACTTCACTTTTGAAAATGTTTCGGAAGGTCTGAAACTTTTATATATACCTTAAATTAAAGTTAATGTAATATACTTTAATTTGAAAAAAAAAGATTTGACCTCTGGACTTGTCTTCGTGGTGAAAATGGCTACCGAATGCTATTTTTGTGTGAAAATTCTCGATTTTACAGTTANCGGCTACCGAATGCTATTTTTGTGTGAAAATTTTCGATTTTATAATTTACATTTTTTACTTTAAAGTGCTATAACTTTTTAAAAAATGTGTGGATCAATACAATTTTTTCATGAGAAGTAGTATTTATATACATCTTTCATTCGACATACTTTTTCTTTAAATAAGACCATTTTCCTATATACGGGGGGGCTTTAAATATTAAAATTGCATATAGAAAATAGAACCTTTTCAACTTAACTTTTAAAAGTNTCAGCTCTCACCAAACGGATTTCATTCAATGATACGTCAAAAGTTCAAAAATCGTATCTAGTTGAAGACATTACCTTTAAAAATTGAAAAAATTTCCCTCGTTCCCCGTAAATGGGGGAAACCTCCAAAAAAATTACAAATTTAAAAATCGATATTTTTCGAAATTTTTTCAATTTTTTTTACTAAAAACTGCCGTAACATTTTCAAAAATGAACATATCAATATAATTTTTTTTTTTTATAGATGCTTGATGTCTTTACCTATCATTTGGTATATTTTTTTTATAAATCTGACCCTTTACCTGCACACAGGGGGGGATTTAAAATGACAACTTTTCCACAAAAAATTAATTTTTTCAACTTCACTTTTGAAAATGTTTTGAAATCTTTTAAAAGTGTTCCGAAAAGTCTGACACTTATATATATATTTTTAATTAAAGCTAATAAAATATACTTTATTGTGAAAAAAAAAAAATTCGGACTTTATTTTGTCTTCACAGTGAAAACAGACATCAAAGTTAATAAAAAAAACCCAGCACAGGGGGGTCGCGATACAGTGGTGCCGTGGTATAGTTGGATCAAGTATAATGATATCTGACAGTGATTAAAATCGCTATCAAAAATAAACGCTTCGATGCAAATCTTTAGATAGTGTTTAATTTTAAAAAAATTGGTGTTTTATTCCAAAAGCTACATGATCTGCTGGTTCCTTATTAATATCTTAATTAAGATAAAGTATGTCAAATGAAAAAGAGTTTATTAAAAAATATTATTTCTCATAAAAAAATTGTGTGGATCCATACACTTTTCAATAAGTTATAGCATTATATAATAAATATAATATAAATAATAAAATCGAGAATTTTCACAAGAAAATACCATTTGGTAGTCATTTTCGCCGTAAAGACAAGTCCAGAGGTCAAATTTTTTTTTTCAAATTAAAGTATATTACATTAGCTTTATTTTAAGATATATATAAAAGTTTCAGACCTTCCGGAACATTTTCAAAAGTGAAGTTGAAAAAGTTGTCTTTTTAAATCACCCCCTGTGGGCAGATAAAGGGTCAGATTTACAAAAAAAATATACCAAATGATAAGTAAAGACATCAAGCATCTACAGAAATAAATTATATTGATTTGTTCATATTTGAACAAAAGTGTATTGCAGTTTTAAGTAAAAAAAATTAAAAAAATTTCAAAAATTAGCGATTTTTGAATTTGTAATTTTTTTGGAGGTTCCCCCCATTTACAGGGAACGAGGGAAATTTTTTCAATTTTTGAGAATAATGTCTTCGACTAGATACGATTTGTGATCTTTTGACGTATTGTTGAAAAAAATCCGTTTTTTTGAAAGCTGAGAAAAGTGGTAACAGATACAAAAAAAAAAAAAATAACACATCATAGTAAAGCCAATACCTTCTCAGCTTCACATCGAAGTTAAAATTAATATTTTTTATCTTTCCTAAGATTATTTCACGATATTCACTGAGAATCGTGCAAAATTTGAGTATATTTTAATGAAATAAGGAAATTCAGAGAATTTTAGCAATTATGAAAAAGAAGAGATTAGAATACTTAGTTGGATGAAAGTAATGACTAGAGAAGATAGATTAAGGAACGAACATATAAAATGGAGTACAGGTGTAGCGTCAATGATGAATAAGATGAGAGAAAATAGACTTGGATGGTTTGGTCAAGTTATGAGGAGAGAGGAATTGGAAGCTGTAAGAACAGTTTTGGAAATGAATGTAGAAAGAAGAAAAGCATAAGAAAAATCAAAAAAGAGAAACATTATTAAATGTCATATGAGGACGGCTGATGTGTGCTTAGATGATGTGGGAGATCGTGTCAAGTGGGCGTTAGGTTACAAGTGGCCGAACCAAAGTATTTGGTATAAAGGCGAAAGAGAAGAAAATTAACACATTAAAAAATTAAATCATATATTTTTGGACGATATGTTCATACAAAAAAGAATTCATATTGACTTTATTAAATATAATAATAATTAGAAATGTGTTACATAATTGTAATCCAAAAAATTTATTTTTAAATTTTTTCCACTTTCACTTTTTTTGCTATTATTTATTTTTATTATGCCACTATACGGATGCCACGAAGAAATGGTTTAGTGTATTATTAATAAAATTATTTAATATTCATTAGTGATATCTATACTATTTTCCAAGATGGGTTTCTTAGTACTTTTCTTGAGTACTTTGGCACTAACTGATGTTTGATGTGACGTTTGAGACATTTCTAATCCTTAAATAAAAAATAACAATAATTATTACCAATATTCATGATTTACAAACTGTAAAATAGTGGCAAATAAAAACTTATACAAAATGAGTATAGAATTATAAAAAATTATTATCAGTAAATACAAACGGTAGTTCGGATAAACAAATGTGTTTGAAAATGTTTTTTTATCATTTTATTAAACTAAAAATAGTTTTAAATACCCAGCACAACGGGGATGTAACATAGTTAGGTCCAGTATACATGATATCTAACAGTGATTAAAATCACTATCATAAAAAATGCTACGATGCAAATCTGTAGATAGTGTTTAATTTTAAAAAATTGGTTGATTTTATTCTTTTTTCTAAAATTTATTGAAATATAAAGTTAGAAATGTAAAATATAAAATTGAGAATTTTAACATAAGAATAGCATACGGTAGTCATTTTCACCGTGAAGACAAAATAAAATCCAAAATTTTTTTTTCATAATAAAGTATATTACATTAGTTTTAATTTAAGATATGTATAAAGTGTCAGAGTATCCGGAACACTTTCAAAAGTTAAGTTGACAAAGTTGTCATTTTAAATCCCCCCTGTGCGCAGGTAAAGGGTTAGATTTATAAAAAAAATATACCAAATGATAGGAAATACATTAAGCATCTATAAAAAAAATTATATTGATTTGTTCATTTTTAAGAAAGTTATGGCAGTTTTTAGTAAAAATTCAAAAAAATTTCAAAAATTAGCGATTTATAAAATTGTAATTTTTTTAGAGATTTCCCCCATTTACGGGGAACGAGGGAAATTTTTTCAATTTTTGGGGATAATGTGTACGACTAGATAGGATTTGTGATATTTTGACGTATGGTTGAAAGAAATTGGTCTGGTGAGAGCTGAGAAAAAGTGGCAACAGACACAAAAAAAAACACATCATAGTAAAATTAATTTCTTCTCAGGTTCGCATCGAAGCTAAGAAATCATTTAACCAACTATATATTATTATAGAATTTTTCATAAAAAATAATATTTTCCTTTAAGAAAATTTAAAATGTTCAATAGTTTTCAAAAAATTTATGACTATCTTTTGAAATTCGTGTATCAAATAGNTTTTCCTTTAAGAAAATTTAAAATGTTCAATAGTTTTCAAAAAATTTATGACTATCTTTTGAAATTCGTCTATCAAATAGTGTTAGGGAGAGCGGTGTATTAAAATTTAATAACAGAACGCTCTATATTTTTAATTATTTATTGTACTTTAATTTTAATAATATTTAATATCCAAACAATAAACAAAAAAACTTGACATAAATTACTATTTAAAACACTTATTCAATCTGACATAATAAATAACTAAAATAAACTAGGAGCGCGTCGCCTTTGTTAGGCGGTGGAACGTACACTGACGGGCATACCAAAAAGGCCGGCCGGCTGTTATTAGATAACAAAAAAAAAAGATTATGATATATATACATAGATTGTCAACAAATAGTTACAACCGCATTTGGACATGTTACTTTTGCGCACGCAGGAGGTGTCACAATATTTATGATTAGATTACCTTTATATTTGAAATCAAAACTATTAATGCATAATAATAATGGACAATAAAATAATATTATAGTTTATAATAAAGATATATATTTTTAATTATTTGAAAAAATTCTTTGAAAATAGAAAAACATCCCCTTACACAACTAATATTTTGGGCTTTTTAAAAATTATATATGTAACTTTCAATAATTAGTTTCAAATAACAATAATTAGTACACAATGATTACTGTTGACGTAAGGATAAATTTTGATATTAATGATAAAAGATTACACTCAGGTGACTCAACGTATTATGTTACAGTTCTATTTGGGTAATCAAAGATATTTTAAGTAAAATATAGTTGATTTATCTAAAAATTACCGCTACTTGAATCTCGGTTTGGTCTCTTGAAAACGTTTTTTGAGGTTAAAACGTTTCTATATTTAGGAGTGGTAAACGTGTACAATAATGGATTTACAAGAGCATTAATTGGTACAATAAAGACGACAACCCATCCGTAAAGTTCACCTGTATGATTTAGAAAAAATATTATTTAAGTCAATGATAATATAACAAAATAAAATTATTAAGTATTATTTACTTGAAATATGAAATTTTTGCATTGCTGCGAATTTTAGTACAATAATTGGAAGCCAACAAAAAGAATTTGCTAAAACTATGAAAAAAAAACGAACAGCGAATTCGAAATCGCCCACAGATATACGAGCTGCTTGTCTTGTTTTCCATACGCTAATAAACATAAGCATGTATAGGGCTGACAGCAACAATAAACTAAAATAATAAAAATGATATAATTTCTTTTTTTTTACTAATATTACTTTAAAAACTAGAGAAATATATGAGGGATTTTTTGTTCATAATTTAACTACTATAATATTAAAGTAACATTTTTTTAAATTTAGTTTTTATTTATTATAAATAATCTTGAACTCGGCAGAATATTAAGCTGTAGTGCTTTTTACTCAATCTGTGCACTCACTATGATTAACTGTATTAGTTAATAAATGTCTCGATGGTATTATTATTAATAACTACCGCCTATTATAAAAATTGTAATAATTTTAAAGAAAATCTTTAGAAAACATTAATTAATTAGAGTAAAATTGATTAGTAAACTGTAGTTAAACGTGATAAATGTCTGCGTGTGCGTAATAAGAGTACACCCAAAGAAAAACCTCAATCAAAATTGAAAGAGAAATTTTATCAAGGGTTTATGATAATGTTTTATTAATACGAACAAAATAACTATTCTTATAAATAATTATTGTTCAAGACAAGAAAAAAAAATATCATATTGATAAATATATCATTGATTCAATAGTAATGATATATTTATCAAATTGAACAATGAATTTATTATATAGATCGAGGTTTTTCTCTGGGTGTAAGTTAGGTAGCGAGTGGTGGTCACTAACACACCACCCTCACACCACGCCTAGCATTCTCGTGTGACAGGTTCGATTGTATCCTACACATCGTCTACCGAAATCCGTATCTCAATGAAGATTGGTTGGGTTGGGTTTTTTATATCCTAATGTAAACTCTTCACTCATATCTCGCACCTTTAATAATCGCAAATTGTCTGATTATTGAACCACTTATAATTTTTTGTTCTTTGTTCACCATCGTTTTTAATACACTAATCATCTAATTTACTTGATAGTGTATACAATTATACAAGGGATAAATTTAAAAAAAAGTTAATAATTAACAAATATACGAAACTAAAAATTTCTGAACGATTTTTTCTTAACATATTTATTATTTTTAGGAAAATCAAGTGGTTAATTTTAAAAAAATCACCTGTATAATATATTGTGTATAAAGTTACTAAATATACCTGGTTGAATGTAATCCTAAAAATATAAAAGCTGAATATTGCCATCCACTTAGAAATGGATCTTCAATATATAAAGGGTAACACATGCCGTTGGAGCCATAAAATTTTGTTGCATGCTTTAGTAACAGTACTGAAAATAGTTTCAGTATTACTTTGTATAAATTACTGTTCTATCTGAGAGTTAATTGCTAAAATAGTTGAGTTTTTGTATAATTAAATATTGTTGAACATACGTGGTGCAGTAGAAATACAAATTGCGACCAACCAGATAGCAGCCATACAATAAGTTGCAGTTTTCAATTTCAATACGTGATAGCCGGAAAAAGGCACAGCAATGAGTAAAAATCTCTCAAGACTAAGAAAAACCAATATCAACAATGATACCTATGACGAAAGTAGCAAGTGAAATATTTTTATTAAAATAATATTTTTATATTCATCATTAATACTTAATCTATCAAGTGCAGACTTGACTATTATCAAAGTAACTCTAAGTGATGGTAAGAACATTATAGTAGTTTCAGGATACCTACCATATGAGGTCACAGACCCAGGTAGGGACCTAACTATGCTCTTTAATTATTGCAAAAATGAAAAATTAGAACTCGTCCTAGGTATGGATGTTACTGCTCCCCCAAATAGTGTATTTGGGGGAGCAGTAACATCAACCAAACAAGAGAGGTAATAATGGATCTATTACTGACTACAGACCTCAGTATACTGAACAGAGGTAATCAGGAACAGGCACGAGGTCATTGATCTGACAGTTTGTTCAAAAGGGTTACTTCAAAAGATAAAAGGGTGGAAAGTGTCCTCCGAACCTTCTCTTTCTGATTATAGGCACTTACGATTCACTTTGGAAATCAACAAAGTTGAGACGGAGTACTATAAGAATCCAAAAAGAACAAACTGGGACAACTACAGGGCAGATATTTCTCGTTACCTGAATAATCTACAGTTTAGATTGGGGTCGAAACAGAGTACTGAAAGGGTTGTAAATATATTACAGGACTCCATTGTCTCAGCTTACAAAGAAAACTGCCCTTTAATAGAAAGGAAAGGTGTAGGACAGGGTGCAGCTTGGTGGAATGCTAGCCTATCTAAATTAAGAAAGAATTCAAGTAAGCTTTTAAATAATGCAATGAAATCAGGTTTGGAACACTGGGAGTCCTATAAGGACGCCCAAAGAAACTACAAATCTGCTTTGAAGTCTGGTGGACCAGAACAGCACTTGTTACAGCTAGGAAAGAACTTAGTCACATACAGAGAATGGCTGCCATGGCCATTACTGGAGCATTAAGAACTACACCAATGGTCGCATTAGAAGCACTAATCGGATTGCCTCCTCTGCGTCTAGAGGTTAAAGCTCACGCCAAAGTCACAGCACTAAGTTTCTACAACTTAGGTATGTAGACTTTGGAGAGTGACACAACAGAACATGGGTTTAAAGGCATGAATAAATGTCAGTATGTCATTGGGCACAACACCCTCTGTTTTCCAAGCAGAGGTAATGGCAATACTGGTAGGGGCTCAGAATCTGTTGGTATATAAAAATAGGAAGATAACTCTCTTAAGTGACAGTCAAGCGGCTTTGAAGCACTCTGTAATGATCAGGTTAATTCAAAGCTGGTCCTCTAATACAGGAAAACTTTAGATTCACTATCGAGGTTCAACAAAGTTACAGTAGCGTGGGTACCAGGACACAACGGTGTCAATGGAAATGAAAATGCTGACTATCTAGCCAGGAAAGGAGCGGAGAACACCTATGTTGGACCAGAACCAGTGGTAGGACTTACTGAGCAATCGCTCAAAGCGCTACCCAAGAATTGGTGCAGAGAACAACACAGGAAAATCTGGAAGTACTTGGTATTACCTAGACAATCTAAAATGTTTATCAAGACCTCTGGTGTATTGTTGGGTGATCTTAATAGCATGACTAGACATCAAATAAGCATCTTGACTGGTCTATTGACAGGACATGGTCACCTGCTTAAACATTTTAATGCAATAGGGGTATCGGAATCACCATTGTGCAGGAAGTGTGGAATAGAAGAGGAAGACTCATTTCACATCATGTGCGAATGTGAAGCCTTGTTTACACTAAGATCAAACTACTTGAGTAAACCTTTTCCTGAAAAAGAAGATATTAAAAACCTAAAACTCAGAGAGATACTGAATGTCACCAGAAAGACAGGACTCTTTGTTATCTATAGAGGTGACTTTATGGTTGGTTTAATGTATTAACACTTCGGTGATAACACTTAGGTGGGTAAACCGAATCAAGACAATTCGGTATGAGGTGCGCACAATGGACCAACATGTCTGAGTGCACGGGCATTATGTCCACCTCGATAACAACTAAAACTAAAACTAAGATAATTGTAAAATGATTGAAAAAGTTAATATAGTTAGTCGATATTTTCACTAATTCCAGTGCTATTAGTTTTATTGGTCTCTATATTGGAAATTTGTAAATAATTTGTAACAGGAATCAAGATTATCTAAATAATTTTTTTTTTTTGTAAATTTTGAATATGTAATATTTAAAGAAAAAAATTTCTGTAAATAAAATTATACCTTCATTATCAGTTTTTTTTCATGTGAATTATAGGCAGTATATAAATTAGTTACAATAAGTATGTTGGAACATTTCATTAAAATTTTCAGTAAGCATTCTTACTTCAGAAGATACAACAGCAATTAAACCTATTACTGTACATAAATTGGACGACTTCCATTCTTGAGCGTAAGCGTAAAACTCATCACGGTATTTTGAGTCTTGATAACCAATAACAGTCAAATATAATGCCATCAACATATCTGCAACTAAAATTTTAATCGAAAGATTCTGTATCACTTATTATCTAGAGCTTTGAAAAAAATATGTAGAATATGAAAATAATATCACAATCAACTATATTTATAGTAAAAATAAATATATTTATCTTTTTAGGAATTTAAGAACATGGAATTTGCCGTGGAAATTGTTTTTGATTAATTATCATTAAAATATTATTATAAGTATACAAAATATAATTATTTAATAAAAATTGAAAAATTACTTAACCACGTACGTATTTCAACTTTTGTGAATCTCAATTTCCTTTAAATTTTATGTTAGTGTGTGTAGTTTCACTAATAAGATAGCATTTAAATATTGTTTTTAATGATAATTAAGTTTTCTTTCGTTTATCTGTTGTTTGGAATAATAATTAGTAGATTATTATGAAGTATGATTGTGAATACACGTAAGTATTTTGTGGTCATATAATTATTTTTTTAATTTACAAGTAGAAATAATTTCCTGGTAAACTGCTTTTGGAGTTATACCAATTCGGAATCAGTGACCAACCTGTAAGGACAGACCAAAAGGTCTAACAGGGCTACGGCGCATAAGGCCTTCAGGACATCGAGTCTGTGGTGAAACCTTAGCTAGGCGAAGCCTAGTTATTTAAAATTAAAAATAAATTTTAAATATTAATTTAAAATAAAAAAAAAAAATAATGCTAAACATATACTGACTCAGGTATATGTTTAGCGTTGATAATGATAATATTATTCGCGAAATACGTATCCGTGATTTTTTAGGAATTTTGGTAAGCTTTTGAGTTAAATACTTTTTACGTTTATTAGTTTTAAGTATATTTTTAATATTAAATAAAATCAATTATTATTTACATTTTTACCTGCCAAGTTACGAATAACAAAACTTATAGCATGATTTTCATCTCTTAAACTACCAAACATACGACCGTATAAGACCATAGCATTCATAATAAACGTAAAAAATGTCACTGTCCACAACGTACTTCGAAGAATTGGTTTCGAAAGAAGATTATAGCTTGAAGATAAATCTAAAAATTTAATCATTTGGTGTTATATTTAAAATATATATATATAAAAGTTGGAACAACCAGACTTTGAAATTAACCAGTTCAATAATTCAACGTTTGTTTTAAGTGAACGAAAATGAATTATGGTCATGAGAATTCAATAAAGAGAATAGCCGAAAAAGAACGATTAGAGGAGATTGAAAACTTCAAACACAACCCCAGAGAATTTTTCAAACGGTGCAAAACATTTAAAAATGGATATATACCAGCTATAAATATGATAGAAGATAATAATAGTGCTCTAATTACAAGACCGGAAAAAATTGCCGAGGAATTTAGAATGTACTTTAAAAAACTTCTTAACAATGGCTCAACAACGGAAGCAGTAGGCGAACAAGACGACACCATACATTATACAGTTGAACCAGAAGTATTAAACCCGAGTTTAGAAGAGGTACAGTGTGCAATCCAGACTCTAAAAAATAATAAGTCACCAGGAGATGATAAAATTGTAGCTGAATTATTGAAGTTAGGAGGACAAAACCTAACACAAAAATTACATCATCTAATTCAACAGATATGGACAAAGGAAAAGATACCACAAGACTGGAATGAATCATTGATATGTCCAATTTTCAAAAAAGGTAACCGAAAAAAAGTAGAGAATTATAGAGGAATAACACTACTGAACACTGGGTATAAGGTACTTTCATTAATCATACTTAAAAGACTACAAATTTATACAGATGAGATAGTGGGTAATTACCAAAGCGGATTTAGAAAAAATAAATCAACTACTGATCACATATTTGTCATAAGACAAATTATGGAAAAAAGTTATGAGTTCGCGAAAGATCTACATATGGTTTTTGTGGATTACAAACAAGCATATGATAGCATAAATAGAGGAAAACTATGGAAAATTCTTAAAGACTTTGGTTTGCCAAACAAATTGATCAGCATGGTGAAACTATGTAACACATACACCAGCAGCCGAGTCAAGGTGAACGGCGAGGTATCGTCTTCGTTTATAATAAATAGTGGATTGAAGCAAGGGGATGCGATGTCACCAGTGCTTTTCAATTTGGCATTGGAGAGTGTGATAAGAAAGGTTCCACGAACTGAGACATTAAACCTTGACGAAGGAAATGTCTTACTAGCATATGCAGACGACATAGTGGTTATTGGGAATTCGCGAGAAGGTATTCAGAATACTGTCGAAGAACTGATAAAGGTGGGAAAAGGTATTGGCTTGACAATCAACAGTGGTAAAACTAAATACATGGTGGTGAAGCGAGGAGGGGGTGACCATAACAACCTCCACGTCGGAAATAACACCTTTGAACAAGTACAAGAGTTCAAGTACCTTGGGTCTACCCTAAATAACCAAAACAACATGCATGGAGAGATCAATATCAGACTGGGCGCTGCTAACCGATGCCTTTATGCACTGAAAACCCTCTTTAAATCTAAGCTACTGTCAAGGAAGACAAAAGAACATCTATACGTTAGTTACATCCGCCCTATATTGACATATGCATGTGCCACATGGGCAACAACGAGAGGTGATGATGAAAAACTACGGTTATTTGAGAGAAAAGTTCTTAGAAAAATTTATGGACCCGTATTCAACAATACAGAACAGAAATGGGAAATAAGAACAAACGCCCAACTGTACCAGCTTTACAAAAGAGAAGATGTGGTCCAATTCACCAGAGGGACTAGGATAGAATGGGCAGGCCACGCATGGCGGGCCGATGGAAGTATATTGAAAGGAGCAATGACATATATGGTAAGCGGAAAAAGACCAAGGGGAAGACCGCGAAAAAGATGGAAGGACAGCGTCAAGGAATTATTAGAAGAAATTGGAGTGGACTTGGAGCAGGCATATGATAGAGAACGATGGAAGGAAGTAGTTTTGGCGGCCAAGAGTCTAAATGGCTCGTAAAAGCCAAAAAAAAAAAAAAAAAAATTGTTGTAAGGCAGTATTATGGAAAGGGTTTAATTCCCAAAAATTTTTTCCATTTGTACCTTGTTATCAAAAATTAGTGTGGTATATTATAGTTAAATTTAATATGATTAAATACTGTTTAATTATACATAATATTTGTGTGTTAGAGCTATAATTCAAAATTTTAAACTATTAAAAAAAATAAATTACGAACTTGGATGAGATCGACTAAGTTCTCTTTAAAAAAGATTAACTAAATAATGTAATTAGTTCGATTTTATGAAATTGAATCAGTTCAAGAACTAGGTCATATTTTAAATGAACTTTTAAAAATATAGGAATAATCATAAGTATAAATAGTGTTGATACTTGTAACTATAACATTTCATAATATAAGAATTTACCGTCCGTATTGGGATAACATAATGGTACATTCCTAGCATACAAAGCACAATAATGGAACTCTTTTAAGTATCTGAAAAAATAATATATTTTTTTTATGAAGTGTTCGTCACGGTAAAAAATATTGGGTATTTTATAAACATACAGAATTTCTAGATTCTTTAATTTGTCAAATACTGTCGTGTTGATATTTTCTAATTCTATACCATCAAGAGACCTAAAAATGATTGGTTTAACCTAATTAAGTTAAATGTACAGTAAAATAAATTCATACAGCATATTATTGGCAAAAATATGCATATATATTGTTTGTATATACTTACAATGATTTTAAGCTTTTCATTGATTTAAATAAATCTGCATGTAAATATTTTACCGGATTATTTGCCAATGAGCTGAAAAAATTATATATTGATAAAATTTAATAAAAATATAATCATATTTTTACTATAAATTTATTTTTATTTAAATACAATAAGAAACAGTCAAATTACAGTTTATGAATATCTGTCAATGATTGAAACATTAAAGGTGTTAGTGTTAATAGATGATTTTCAGTCAAATTTCTGAAATGCAAATTATTTAAATTATGAAATATTTGTGTTTAAATATAAATCTAAATAAATAAAATTACAAATCCACTAATTTGACTAAGTTGATAAATGCATTTTCATCAATAAAAGAAATTTTATTGTATGACAAATCCCTAAAAATAAAACAACATTGTAGAAAAAATGAATTATTTAAACATTTTAAAATTGTCTTACAAGTCTGCTAATGATGGTAACTGGGTAAATAAACACTTGTCTACTTTTTCAATACAATTGTTGTGCAAATTTCTAAATATTGAAAATAATTATTTTAATAAATAGTTAAATTTTCGTAAATTATAGATCAATATAATTACAGGACTCTTAAGAGAGGCCAATGTGGAAAACAGACATTCGTTAAACTCAATTTATTGAAAGACAAATCTCTGGAAATATAAATTTTATTATTTGCTGTGTTAATAGATAATTAATTGAGTTGCTAAACCACTTAAGATTTCTCAAGAATATTTAAAAAATGTTCTTACAGTCATTTAAGTTTGTTGAAACTAGGCCACGAGTCTGAATTTAATAGCTCTAAATGATTGTTATCTAAAAATATATACTCAATATTTTTTATACCAAAGAATGCATGTTTCTCTAACACTTTCAATTCATTATATAACAATAATCTGCAATTACATTGACAATATAATATTTATTGCAGAATTTATGAATTAACAATAGTTTTTTATTACAGTCTTATTAATTTGCTTTGATGACTGAATACAAACGGCGGTATTCTTGACAGAACATTGTATTCTAAACTTCTATAAAACAAGAAGTATGTTTTTATTAGTATTTAACAAAGAAATTGTATATCGGAGTAATAGAGAAAGAGTAGTATACTGAATCAGGACTAAAAGTAGAGGATGTCAATAATTTGTCATTATTTTATATTTGTATAAAAATAAGTCACATTATTTTTTTATAATCATTTGGTAAAAACTATTTTTCATCTTATCATCAGAAGGTAATATCAGAACCGGATTTAGAACTAGGCTACATATGCTATAATCTAGAAGCACAATTATTTTTGCTGTGCTTGTAAATATTTGATTTTTTGTTTTGTTTAATTCCTTTGAGAATTTAATTAACCATCTATTAGAATGTATATATTTAATTAAGTATAAAAAAAATTCCATTTAGTTATTAATATACTAGAGTATAAATACTTTTATTGAATAATGTTTAATTTTGTAAATTCATGTGTAAATTAATGTCATAGATATTAAAAGGAAAAACTAAAAAATTAGTTTGATAATATTTTAATATACTAGATTCTAAACAAATTTGAAGCATAAATGATCATGTAGCTATTTCACGAAAAAATTTCAATTACAGCCCTGTTGGTGACTGTTCATTCGGCGTTTTTAAGGAAATTATATGAGTAATTCAATATTAGATATTAAAGTATCCAATTTGACATAGTTTAGCGTAAATTCAGAATTACTCGAATTAGACTTCGATGGTTTAATACCAACGTTTGTAGTAACTAAATTAAGGAAACGTCAAGCATAAAGATTATTAATTAATTATTGATATTAGTTATAACAGTGTTCATTTTCTTTATGCACGTTAATTGTAAATTCATCAATGATAACCGTTCATAATGTATTAAATGTGTTTTTATTTATAACATAATAAAATTTCATTTAATTACTCCATCTAATTTTTTTAGGGTCACTTTCAAACATATTTGTTTGTGCTAAACAATGTCTGTTCTTAATTAGCTTAGGGGCATTTTTTACGTAAATTCGGCCCTGGGTGGCCTTATTAATAGATGCCATCCTAATTATTTTGAACTCATGAAATTTAGTTACATCACATATCATATTTTCTTTGTATATGATGTTTTTATATTATACAGGGTGATTTTTTTATCATAACCCACTCAATTACTTACAGAATTATAATAATTTAAATATTTTTTTTTATTATTATCTTTAGTTACACATTATTCTTGAATTATTAATTATGTAATACTTTTTAAGTTCATCCCTTATGCCTGGTAAGGGTGTCAACTTTGTTTTTTTAAATGGTAACACATATTTTGAATTTAATAAAATGTTTGAGTTTTCAATTCAATAACAAATGTCATTTGAATTTTTAATATAACTTTATTCGTTTATTAGATATAAACATTTAAAGTTTCAATTTTTTGAGTTAATATATAGGTATAATACACAAGGGATTACAAATACAGGTAGCTAATTGATTTTTTATGATATTGCTATCACAGTCACGGATTGTTTATTATCAATTATGACTATCAATAGATATACATTCTGTATTGTCAGTTAGTGTATTTATAAACTCACAACAATGTGTCTTACTACCATTGATAATAACAATGCTTTGTACCTGCTAATATCGATGCCATAAAAAACCAATTAGCTACCTGTAATTTTAATCCCTAGTGTATTATACATGTATATTAACTCAAAAAATTGAAACTTTAAATGTTTATATCTAATAAACGAATAAAGTTATATTAAAAATTCAAATGACATTTGTTATTGAATTGAAAACTCAAACATTTTATTAAATTCAAAATATGTGTTACCATTTAAAAAAACAAAGTTGACACCCTTACCAGGCATAAGGGATGATCTTAAAAAGTATTACACAGTTAATAATTCAAGAATAATGTGTAACTAAAGATAGTAATAAAAAAAATTTTTTAAATTATTATTATTCTGTAAGTAATTGAGTGGGTTATGATAAAAAAATCACCCTGTATATGAACATCATAATACATCATTTTTTAATAATAATCATAGTATATAAGCCGAATTGAAGTAAATTAAATATTTTTAAACAAATGTAAAGATTGGATTTATACGTTTCAATTGAGTTATTTTGAAAAAATGAGGTATTTTTCGAAAACTTTAAATAAGAAATATTTTTAAATTATTAGAAAAGGATATTTCATTGAGCATTTACAAATACAGAAAATTGATAAAAACGTGTAAATTAGGATATTTAATCTTAAATAATCATCATTATTAAAATAACTAATGTTTTGAAATTATTATTGAGTGTGACTGGTTTAATTATAAAAATCTGAATTAACACATAAAAAAATTACATCCAAGATTAATTATCTACTTGAATTATATCCAGATTTATTTAAAATTGCTTTTACTATATAATTAATAAATAATTTATAATATACTTACATGACTTTTAAGTTTGGATAAACATCAAATGAATAATTTGTTAATAAAATACTATTATTAACAAATGTCCTAAGAACAATAAAATATACAAAAAAATAATAATTTTACATATTAAAATCAAATTTATGATCATAAATCAATCAAATAAAACTATTACATTCTCTCTACATTTCCAGAAACATATTCAGGAACTTTTTTTAATCCAACATTATTGCAACGTAAATATGTACCATTTGGTCCTGAGCATTGACATACTGGTGGATAGTTTTTCAAAGCTTAAAATAAAGATATGATTAAAAATGAAACAGGATTACAAATTTCATTGAAATTAGAAGTAACAATTTTCCCTTAACATTCTGTAAACGTTTCAAAATTAGTAAGATAATCCAAAGTAAATATTGCAACACGGACATTTAAGTAAAAAAACATACACTCCATAAAGTCACAAAACTGATACAAAGAAAAATGTTGAAGTTATTATGGTTAAAAAATTATAATTATCTTACCACATGGTTTTGCTGTACTTTTATAAAAATAAGTAAAGTTATTATGCAATGCAACTATAGTTGCATTAAGCTTTTCTTCAGTTTCATTATTTAATGTTTTGTTAAGATTTATGTTGTTGACATAAGTAATGTTACTTTGAATTGATTTGAGGGTAGTTCTATTTGTTATAATAAAGTCGTTGTATAATGATAATCCATGAAGGTCAGCTAGAAAAATTAATTTAAAAGATTTATAAATTTAAAAATATTAAAATATTAAGAGTATTACAAGTTTTAATTTTTTATTTATTATTAGATAAATATAATTTAAATTATTAATGTTTTGTTTAAATTTAATGAAATCATATAATTTTATGTTTAATAACAACAATCAAAAGGCTAAAGTTTTAAATATATATATTTTTTTGCTTTTCTCGATAAAATAGAAAAGAAAAATATATAGAGGGTACTACTAATTTATGATTTTTCGGTACTAAGAATTTTTAAGCTCTCTCGTACTTTTTACTAAAAATTAATTACTCTTTAAAAAAACAAGAAAACTAACAATAAATTTCGTAAAAATTGGAAATATTTTATGAATTATCCACTATTTTGGCTTCCATGCAAAGTTGAAAAAGAAATAATATTACAATGACTTGTTAATTAATTAATTTTTTTTTTGCGTTTGTCATCTATTTTTAGTTTACAGTGGACTGATTTTATTAAAAGATACATCAAAAGATTACGAATCCTTTCTAGTTGAAGACATTATTCTTAAAAATTGAAAAAAAGATTTACCTCTTTCCCCTGATATGGAGAAAAATCCCTAAAAAATGTCGATTTTTAAAGTCGGTAATTTCAATATTATAATATTAATACTTTTTTTTTCTTAAAACTACCATAACTTTTTGAAAATTAAATGAATCAAATACATTTTTTTTTATAAACACCTTAGGTGTTTCGTTTTTTAGAAATGTGACCCTTTACCCACTCAAAGGAGACATTAAAATAGCAACTTTTGAATAAAAAGTTAATCTTTTCAACTTTTATGAATGTTGCGGAAATACTATGACATTTAAAAATATGTTAATTTAATGTTTATGCTACATACTTACGAAATACAATAAATAAGTTAAATTAGAAATAGGAGGTGATTTGCTTTTGAAATAATCCAACTATTCCTTCTAATAATATTAGACTATCTAAAGATTTGCATAGAAATGCTTTTTATTATAGTAATTTTAATCACAGTCATATATTATCTGTACTTGTTCTAACTATGCCGCGTCCTGATTGTTCCGCGACCTCACTGCGGTGGGGTTTTATTTTTTAATTATGTTTTGTATATACACAAAGACCAAAAAGTATAATGTTTTACGAGATTAAAAATATTTATAAAAACTATAAGCTATATTTAACATTGTTTTCTTGTTAATTTAAACTGACCACATTGAACAGGATCTTCATCTTCTCCATGAAGACAATCTTTATACTTATTACATTTGTATAAATTCGGAATACAAATTTCTGATTTTGAACATAAAAATGTCCCTTCGTGACATACTTTAGTACCTGTATATTTTAAAACAAAATAATTCATTATAGGCACAAGTTTTGTAAAAAAATTTACACAAAAACTGCATGAATTAATTTTTTAATTTCTTTATTCAGAAATATAACGAATAAATTCCTTACATATTTAGTTATTTCCCTAAACATTTTAAAATGTATGAATAAATAAATGAAATATAAATTAATTATAGAAAACTTGAATGTTTTCTTTGAATATAAAATGACAATGTTTTAAATAAATATTTTTAACTTACCAAAGTTCAAATATAGAGTAATAAGGGCTAAAAAAAACAAACATAGTATAATGAAAATGCTTATGATAGCCGAACGCGTGGCTTGCATGGCGCAACAGACGGTGTCACTGTGATCTGGACGACAAACACTGCGACATATACTAGTCAATCGAGCTTTTTTATGTACCTTTTTTCTAAAATTTGTGTTTGTTCAGTATAATCCTCTAGCGTTTTGGATATCGTGATGAATGCTCTGTTCTGCGCTTTATTAATGTTATATTTTAACGACATATAATAATTGCAATAAAATGAAGTACGCCAAAACTGCAATTAAACCCACTTGATACTACTTACATGTACTGATTTATTACATAATTGTTGTGCTTTAGGATTATGTGAACAAATAAATGGTTGAAATTTATTGAATCCCCCGTACGTGGTTTATTTCACTTCATAGAATTTACACACCATGTATAAAAATATAAATAAAATATTAACAGTATGAGTACTCGGAAAAAAAAATTGTAGCGCTATAGATCGACTATGTTCCTTCGAAGTAACGTTAAATTTAGTGCTCATTAAAATTTAATGTTGTGAAAATGTTTGATGTATCTTTCCGTTTATATACGATGGTTTAAAAATAGTGTAAAATGTATGACGTGTAAAACATTAAATGTTAACTATGATACAATTTGTATAGTAAAAAAAATAAATTAGATCAAAAGGTTTAATTACAATCCAAGGTTTTGAAATAAATTCCGGATTTCAGTTAAATAAAAATTTCAATATACATATAATATAATTATGTTAAAATTTGTAGCATTTTGTTTATTATGGCTAAATATTAGCTTCGATGCGAAGCTGAGAAGGTATTAATTTTACCATGATGTGTTTATTTTTTTTAGCTTCGATGCGAAGCGGAGAAGGTATTAATTTTACTGTGATGTGTTTTTTTTTTTTTTTTATGTCTGTTGCCACTTTTTCTCAGCTCTCACTGGACCGATTTCTTTCAAAAATACGTCAAAAGATCACAAATCGTATCTAGTTGAAGACATTACCCTTAAAAATTGAAAAAAATTCCCTCGTTCCCCGCAAATGGGGGAAATATCCAAAAAAATTACAAATTTAAAAATTGACAAATTTTGTCATTTTTTTCACTTTTTTTTCTTAAAACTTCCATAACTTTTTCAAAAATCAACAAATCAACATCATTTTTTTTTTGACTAAAACCTTAGATAATTTTCTTTCATTTGATATAATTTTTTTGAAAATTTAACACTTAGCCTGCTCATGGGGAGGAATTAAAATTGCAACTTTTTTACAAAAACTAACTTTTTCAACTTAATTTTTGAAAATGTTCCGGAAATACTGCGTCCTTTAAACATATATCAAATTAAAGCTTATTTTATGTACTACTAAATGAAAAAAAAAAATTTGTCCCGACGACCTATCTTCTATGCGCAAAAGGCTACCGTATTTAAAAATATGCTATTTTTTATTAAAATTCTAGGTTTTGTATTTTATTTTATTTTAAAATATTTTATTAGGGGAATAAACTGACTTTCATGAATATTATATAATTTCATTGACATAGAATAAAGTTCATAAGACATATGATATTATACTTATTAACATTTTTTACTTTTTTAAAGTCGAAAAAGTAATTTTTAAATTTGAGTTAGCTTAAATAGCCAATTTTATCATGCAACAAAAATCAACGAATAGTTGCCGAATGGGTAACACCTTGATCTTTAACGCCTAGGGTACGAGGTTCAAATCCGTTTGTGGCTTCTAAAATTTTGCATTTTTTTTTTGAGTTAGAATAGAATTTTCAAATCATTTGATATTTATCTCATTTAGATTCAATAATTTCAATAAATATAAAGGATCTTATCACTATAGTCTCCCCTCGTGAGAAGAAATTGATATTCATGTTAATATTATTTTACTATGTGGTTCTTTTTCTGGCTACGATTTATTTTGCCAACCCTCACTAGACCTACTTTTTTCAACGATACGTCAAATGATTCATTTAAGTTTATGATATTTAAGTTAATGATTAGTTTAAGTTATTACTCTTAAAAATCAAAAAAATATTCCTTATTCAAATAAAAAGTAGCTTAACTAGATTTGTCCATACAAACAATTAAAATCATTAATTTTTAATATTCTTAAATTATTTATTGTCGAATTAAATTTGATATGATAAAAGTATTCAACTACAAAAGTAAATAATTTTACTTTATAATTTATTAATTTTTTAACTCTATTTCTGTGTGCTACTACCAGTCTATAATATGCCAAATTTTTTAGTAATATGTTGCTATATAAATCATAAATTTAAAAAAAAAATGATTTTTAGTTTCACCTGAAGTTAACGATGGAGTTTTACAATTATAATTATATTTTTGATAATATGCTCAATTGAGTAAATCTTTTTAACTACTTTGGTTTGATTGGTTCATTTAATTAAAGTAAATTATTAAAATTAATTAAGTTCTGAATATTTCAATTGCAGAATTTTTTTAAACACCAAAAGTTATTAGGATATGATTACTATTCTTTCTATTTCAGTTATCTATTACGATAAAAATGTAAAAAAATCGAATTTTTCTGACAAATGTACTGTAATTAGTAATTATAAAATTTCCAGATTGCATATTAATCTTAAAAATTTCATTTTTTTCAATTTAATAATGTCAATTTCAAACTTGCAAGTTGAACTATAAGTTATGGTAACAAATTCATTTTTTAGCTTCGATGCGAAGCTGAGAAGGTATTTTTCATTAAAACTTTCACTTTAAAAGACAATAAAAAATAGGTTCAAAATGATTACCTTTAACATATTAAAAATCAAAATCAGTATTAATTTAATACAATTTTTTTTGTTCTTAATTATTTTTTTTTATATGTAAATACTTATTTTTTAATAATAAGTAATAATATTAAAACTTAGAAGTAATAAAAAAAGTTTAATTGCACATTTGAAAACATCGCGAAAAGTTTATTTAGAAAAGTATATTTTTTTTTCTGATGAAAGTTCCTTTTGTTTAGTGTATTTATTCATAAATAACAAAATTTTTTTATTAAAAAGTATTGCATCAATTCCTTTAAATTTGTATACGCATTAAAAGTATATGAATATACAACTCCTTTTTATTTTTATAATATCTCCGTAAAAATTACAATATTATATTATTGAATACCACTTTCATACTCAATTTAATTACTGTAATTATTATGTATTCATATATTATAATTATAAATCGGGGTAAAATTAAGGGAATAAGTGTTATTGTTGTTTTTGAAATACTCTACCAATTTCATTTTTTTCTATTTAATGATATCTATTTCAAACTTGCAAGTTGAGTTAAAAGTTATGGTAATAAATTCATATTTTTTTTTTTTAAACTTTCACTTTAAAGGACAAAAAGAAGTTGGTTCAAAATGATTACTTTTAATATATTAAAAATCGATAATAATTTGAAAATAATTAATTATAAAAATTATATAATAGATAATTAAACGAATTACTAATCTGGATATAATTATGGAAATAGGAGTTGATGTTGGGTTGGGTTGGTTACATTTTTAACTTTATAATGCTACAACTCATTGAAAAATGTATGAATCAACACAATTTTTTTATGAGAAATAATATTTTTTAATAATCCCTTTTTCATTCGACATTCTTTATCTTAATCAGGGTATTAATAAGGAACTAGCAGATCATGCAGCTTTTGTAATTATCCACCAATTTCTTAGAATTAAACACTATCTACTGATTTGCATCGAAGCGTTTCTTATGATAGTGATTTTAATCACTGTCAGATTAAATCTATACTGGACCCAACTATGCAACGTCCCCACTATGCTGCGACTCCACTGTGCTGGGTTTTTATTTTTATTTTTTAGCAGAGGATTAATGAATTATTATTTGGGATCCTTAGTTATGATCCTGAATAATACATACAGAATATTTCATTACAGCCTATCTAAACCAAACCTAATAAAATATTTTGAGTGTTAACATCTACTAACAGTTAACATTGCTTTGTAAATATTAATTATGTTCTTGTTAATTTTACAGTATCAATTATTTGCGATTTTTTTTTAAATATTATTTTATAATTCATATTTTGTTCTTCAATTATTCTGAAACGATTACGTTATATTTGTAATCGATATAATAAAATTGAACTAAAATTAGTATAGTTATTGTATTTGGCTTCTATGGAAATTTTTCATGTCATTGATATTATTGAGAGTAATTCTAAAAGTATTCTAATTTTAGTTACGGTGAATGTATTTCAAATGTAGCCATACAATCAATATGTAAATATTTCAGGTTATTTTTATACGATTATTTTACGAAAAAAAGAAATGAATATGTTTTTGACTTATTAAAGGAACACAGTCAATAACCACACTATAAATTCAAATAAAAATTAATGTTGTTTTAAAAAAAGATCTATATTTTACTATTAGTTTAAAATTTTCTTTGGTTTTTGCTTGGTAAAGTTATAACTTTACTAAGTATTCATTTAAATTATCGTAAGTAAAAATAACTCAGCTGATTGTTTTTATGACTAAGCTCCGTCTTAGACTCAGGACCCTGCTAGCCTTCAACGCATATGGTGTGTTAAGTCTTTCGACCCGTCTTTATTGATAGATCATAGATTGATAAAACTTGAAGAAAAAACCTAATTAGCATGAATGGATTGCAGTATAATGATACGTCTATGTCAAAATAATTCTAGGTGCACTCATTATCCAAAAAGTCATATCTTATTATCATATCAATATTTATAATTTTAGCTTCGATGCGAAGCTGAGAAGGTATTGGTTTTACTATGATGTGTTTTTTTTTTAGCTTCGATGCGAAGCTGAGAAGGTATTAATTTTACTATGATG